AAGCGACCCACGATTAAACGGCGTTCAACGTACTGCCCCGACATTTACAGACGAGTTGGTACAGGCCGTCGAGACACACGGGAAGAAACTGCCCGACGGCTAAGCGGGGGTTGAAGAACGGTGTGAAGGGCAGGTTAAAAGCCGGTGTGAACGATCTGTGACCTTCCGTCGCCCGAACCTCACCACCCCACCAAGTTCTAGTTCTGACTCATGCAGTGAACTTGCTTGGCCGAACAACGGGGGTGAACACGGGCCTACCCTGTGTTGGTTAAAGGCACCTGGATTGGTGCTCGTTCGACAGCTGTACAGAAAAATCAAAAAAAAGGGGAGTGGCGGCACTGTTCTACTCCGACAAAAGCGGGCTGGGCGAAACAGCACGCGAAAAAATCGGGGCGCCGCAAGGACAGCACTGGTGTAGTTCGCTGGTTTCTCCTGACCCGGGCGTCTACACGAGTTGACGGCGCAGCGGCGAAGCTGGGACCGGGAACTGTGGAGTTTAGTGGCGCAACGGGCACGGTGGGCTGCAAAACGGTTGGGCGACTGTTCCTTTGAAATAAGGGTCCCCGACTCCGATAGTTTTTTCCCCTCCACCGTAGCCGGGTTTCTGCGGGCAACACCGACTATACCCCATCCGACAAAAGCGGACGCTGGGTGAACGGCGGGAAGCGAAATTGTCGGGGGGTGAAACGACCAAAAATCATGAAGCTGCGGGTATTTCTTCGCTTCTTGGAGTGCGGTTGAGCCGTTGGGGGACCTCGCCTGAAGGGTACTTTTCGAAGTTGCCTGGCAAGAAACACGGCGGCAAGGGGACCTAGGACCCCCGGTGTTTAAACGCACACCTTGGGAAATTCTTCAGAAAAATGGGAGCGTGGGAGCAGTCGTAGCTTCGGAAACCTATCGACCGGCGACGAGCGATGCGGTGAAACATCTGCAAAGCGCTGTTGGGGGAAACGTGAGTTTTTTGTTAAACAGCATCGGCGGGAGCAGTTTCGACGACGGAGTCAACGGCGCTGATGCCACTAGGTTCCGTGAAATTCGGTCTCGAAAGACCCAGGGCAGTCCCCGGTTCTCAATTGAACCCACATGCTGGGGTCGGGTAAACCGACGGAAACTGATGGTGACGGAGTGGGCGGCTATAGCACGTCCGAGATTTTCGGAGGAGAACTGCACCTGCAACTGCGGATTTACGGGTTGATTTCGATCCGACATTTACGGAGTTTTACGAGAGGACTTACCGGTTTACAGCTGGAACCAGCGACAATTTCGTGGGATTTCTTGGCGTTTGGTTAAACGCGCGCGACAACGACGTGGGCACACCGCGGGAACTACACGGAGTTTTCAAGGGGTACGAACGACTTACGACGAACTGAAGAAGGCGGCAGCAACAGTTGTGGAGGGGAGAGACAGCTGCAATTTTTCATTTCTGCCCGGGAGCTCTCGGCGCATTACGACAAATTTCTCGGACATTCCATTCCAACTCTGCTACTGACACCTCGCCTTCGACCCACCCACGACAACTGCATTAATTCTCAACCACGTCAGGTGCTGCCAGCTGCAACTACTATCGCCTGATTTCCGGCGATGTGAAGACAAAACAAATTCAGTTCGAGCAACGCACATTTTCCGTCGCGGTTTCTGGTCTACTTTCGCTGGTTCGCCCTTGAAGGATTTTGGGCGCGGAATACCTGGTTTCGTCATCGAGTTTCCACACCGACACATTTTCGGCCGGACTTCTACACTCAACGGTTTTCTCCGTGGGACTTAACACCTGGTTTCTTTTTGTTGTTTTCATCTCGGCGCAGCTGCGACACTTTTCTGTGACTCATTTCTTGGAGTGGGGGGAGAAAGTGCTTTGCACTGTTCTTTCCTTGGCGTTTTTCTCGGTGCTTTCTGACTTTGTCAGGTTGCGTCAGCACGACAGACGATCGCGATTACACCGACACGATCTACGGTCCCGGCTCAATCGCGTTTGAATTCGCGTCAGCAGGTTCCCTCTCTTTTCACGTCAGTCTTCGACCGTCAGATCTACATCTGCTCGATCTACGGCCCACATTTCAACTTTCAACTCATCTGGGTCAGTTCATCGTTAACCGTCAGATCGAAATCGTGCTACATCAACGGCCTACATTCCAACCTTTTCAAAAAATATTGTCAAAGGCATTTCGGCCGTCGGATTCAGCTGAAGGGGAGATCTACGGCATCCTTGCTAGTGTGGGGTCTGTTTTCAGTACAGGGCTTCCTTATTTAGAAGGTGGGAGAGTGTAAGGATTTACAAATCCTTACTGAGGCACTCGTTAGCGAGGCCATCCCGAGGGTCACGCGACGAACCTGTTCTGCCTATTTCGTCGCACCAAACCACTCCCGAGTCGCCTCCGCACCAATCGCAACCATCACCGAGCCATCCTCGCCCTACCTCTCCGCCTAGCTAGGACTTCCCCTATTTAGGCCTCGTCACTTTGTGTGTATCGTGATTCAGTAATTCAGTAATCAATCATTCTCGTTATTCGTTATTCTGCGCACTCTCGCATTCTCGTTAGCTGGGCCTTGCCATGCTGGGCATATCTCGAGCTTGCGCCATCGCTTGTTGCAACTGGGCATTTCCCCACGGCAACATAGTATCTTTTACCGTGGTCACCACGACGTGGTGATTGTTACCGTGGTGTATGCCGGTGGAGCCCACGCTATCGAGCACTGAAAGGATTCGCACTTGGCCATTAGTGTTTTTCCTATGTTGTGATTGCAGTGCTAGCAGGCCCATGTCAAAGGCATTTGGTGTGCGTGAATTACACATGCTGCACTAGTCGAAATTGGCACGGCATGTGCATGGGATTTGCACGCCGCAAATTTGCGACACATTTGCCTATGCTTGCGACATATTGTCGTTTGATTCAATTTTGTGAAGGACTCGACCAGTGTTTTTCGCGCACTGAAAAAACACTTCAACACATTAAAGTGAGTTTGAGAATTCAAGTGGACCCAACTAGAAGGGGGGGGGTGGTGGGGGGGGAGGGGACACTATTTTAGCTGTGGGCTGCGAGTTGTCATATAGCTGCCGAACTAATTTGCCGAGACGCTCTTGGATAAAGCCCTTGAGCAGAATGTGGTCGGCCATGGCGAGATGCATATGCGTAATTAGTAACATTCTTATGAGAGGGAACTCGGTCAGCATACACCGAGCGTTAATGAGCGAAGGCATTGGCGAACTAGGGTGGTAACGGTAATTAGTCGTTTGTGGGGTGCGCGACGGGCCCGGCGTCGAGGTGAGTATCGCGAGGTGGTAACGATTTACTGTTGGGGTACTGTGGCGGGAATTAGTCATGTACGTGGTAAGCAGGGACGCGAAGTAAGGAAAAGGAAATTTCCTTACACTCACACAATATATTTGTTATCATGTACGATATTTTTTGAGTGGATGGTGAAACTTGAACATGGTTACAGGCGAAAGATCGGGTAACAAAATATGTGCTGGCGGCAAACTATCCGATTTCCCTATATCTTTTCGCTTCGTGACGACCAAGGACGGGCGACTTGTCAGAGACTGTCGCAACAACAGCAGTCTCGTGAACGCCAGTGGAGCCAGCTGGTTCGGTCGGTGGTGAGGCAGTAACCATTGGCGATTATGGCAAGTCCCTCGCACCGATCCCAAAGAGTCGTTGAGCTTCCTCTGCGCCCCGTCGCAGACAAACTGGATTTTGGAGGCACACCAAATGTCGATTCGCGCGTCGCGATCAGCAACAACACATAGCGACTCCGGATCCAAGCCTTTGTTTGCGGCTTGCTCAGACCAACCAAGCAACTTGAGCTGGTAATTTCCGTGTCTCCCCCCTGCATTGCTTGCCCCACACCGTTAGTCCCTCCTACACCAGTCTCCTACGAACTTGTGAATTTGGCACCACCCCTTACCCAACACTCGTGAGATTAGTCACTCTCCCCTTGCTTGTTAGCCGTGTGAACGTTGAAGCGAGAAGACGGCAAACGAGCAGAGTACAAAGCAAATTCGCGGTCAAGTATTGAGCGTCGTGGCCGTATCAGAGAGAATATCAACCACGCCACTTGCATTCTCGCTTGCTGTGCATAGCACTCACTCGTAGCCCTACCACCACGAAACACCACAATAATGCCATAAATGCAACGAGTCGCTGCGTGAGACGTCTCTCGTAAACGGCCTTTCGCAGGGCGCCTGCGCCGCTCGCCCCATCTCATCTTTCCGCGCAGGGCCGATAGTCAATCATGAGCCATGGCCGACGGATCGCCCTTCCGGCTCTCGGGCATTTTCCTGGAAGCAAACGCGTTCCACCGAATGGCGTAGCAGAAGGATTTCGGCGTGAAAGCGTACTTTCTTCGTCAGATAGCCAGTTGTCATGGAGCCGCATAGCTAGTCCAAAGAGGCGTACGAGACATGGTCCTGTGTCAATGCCGCCGTCAACCACCATCCGAACCGTAATGCACCCTCTTCAACTCCTTTCCACTCTCTCGCATTACTTGCTTTCCTACTATCCGTAACCAGTGCTCATCCGCATTGCACAAATGGCTCCTCAATTCCTTCGCAGGTCCTCGTCCCCCTTTCTCTGCCCAAGCTTTTTTTACGCAGTTGAATTCACCTCCGTTGCCCTCTCAACCACCCCCTCTCCTTCTTCTCGCCAACCGTGCTCGCCTTGCCGCAGGTGCTTCTCCTACTTGTGGCTCTACTGTCGCTACCGAACCTCGCACCTGCTACCGCCAATAGCACGGCATTCCCCACAACATTCCCAACAGGAAACGGAACAGAGGTCCTTTCTGCTAACTCCACATTTACACAGAGACAGCTAACAACTCCCACAGAGGGTTCGCCTTCAGGGGCGTTACTAACGAACGAATCAACTCATGCAGACTCGAAATCGCCCTCCGCTTCCTCCGCCGTCTCCACGCCGCTGCGAGCGGAAGTGGCGCAAGGGGCGCAAGCGGAACAGGCGGGAAAAGGCGCCGTGATGCGCAGGCGGAAGCGGGTGGCGGAAGATCCGATGGGGAACGAGGACGCCCAAATTGGGCGGAATGTGAGCGCGTTGGGGAGCCGGCGGGGTAGGGGTGACGGGGACGAGCGGAGGTTCGGGGCAGGAGGAGGAATGTGGGATGTGAAAAACTATAACAGGGCAAGAGAGGAGGAACAGGAGCGGACCGTGGTGGAAGAGGGAGATGAGGATGACGAGGAAGAGAGGACGGAGAGACTTCTGAGTTATGACGTAAGGAGTGAGGAAGAGTGGAGGGAAATGGAAGGATGGGGTGGCGAGGAGGAGGGGGGAGAGTGGGACGACGAGGACGACGACGACGACGATGATGACGACGATGATGACGATGACGACGACGACGATGACGACGACGATGACGACGATGATGACGACGATGATGACGACGACGAGAACGACGACGATTATGAAGCTGACGAATACGAAGAGGGGATGTTCAAACCGCAGTCGGGAATTCTGGACCGATGGGGACATGGTAATGGTGACGCGGGATGGAAAGGGTGGGCGAAGACCTCTGCTAACACCACACTCAGTAATCGCCGAAGTCCGAACAGCAACGCTAGGAAGAGTGGAGGCCGCGGCGCGAGCAGCAACAGCAGCGGCAGCAGCAGTACCGACGCGCCTTGGCCAGACAACAGCACCAGTCGGCTTCAGCCCGCAGCACCCGCTGACAGCCTCTCCGCTCGGCGCGCGCTGAGGAAGATCTCCAGCGCCAAGCGCGCGCCTGCAGTTTCCCCCATCCGGCGGAGCTCCGCTCGGAGAGGGAAAGCGTCCGGCGCTAAACGGCGACCGGCTGCCAGACGGCCGGTGAAACGACCAGCTAAGGGGAGTCGGCCAACCGTCAAGAGGGGAGGAAAGGGGAAAGGTAAAATCGTGAGGCGAGCCGGGCCAGTTAGGCGCGGGACGAAGAAGACCGGCGGCCGCACGAGCCGCGGAGTGAGCGCGACTGCGGCAAAGTCGAGGAAGGCGGCCAAACGGCGTCCGAGCACAACAAAGCGCGGAGGGGCGAAGAAGGCGCCGCGGAGGGGGGGTGGTGCGAGAACCGTGAGAGGACGCGGGAAGAGCGGGCAAGGGAAGGCGAGGCGGGGAGGGAAAACGCGCGTGCAGGGCGCAAGCGCGAGGTCAAGGAAAACCCCCACGAAGCGGCCAAGCAGCAGCGCGAAGAGGCCGAGCAGCCGAAGCAGGAGCAGCAAGAAGCCAGTCAAAAAAGTCAAGGCAGTCAAGAAAGTCAAAGCAGCGAGCAGAAAGCAGGTGGACTGCCAGTACTCGCGCAAGGGCTTCGGGCAGAACCTGTATCGCTGCGCCATGGGGTACGCGAAGCGCGCGCGCGTGACGGGCGGGCTCGGGAAGCCCGTGTATATCGTGCGCAGCAGCGCGGACTATGCGACCGTGCCCAAGTACGGCACGCTGCGCTGGGCGCTGCAGTGGCTGCGCGGCGGGTGTTACATCCGGTTTGCGAAGACGATGACGATTCGCCTGAACGCGCGGCTGTTCGTGCCGTCGCACACGAGCATCGACGGGCGCGGCGCGTGGGTGAAAATCATTGGGAGTCTCGACGTGATCAACGTCACGAATGTGATTATACACAATATCGCAGGTGCGCGAAGAGGCATTTTCCAAAATGCTCACTTTTCCCTACGTGCAGGGTGCGTAGATGGGAAGAGAGGTGCATACGCACAGCCTATAAACATGCCAGAGTAACCTTTTCCCACCGTTTCCCACCGTTTTTGGCTCTTCTTTCTGCTCGTCTCTTTACCACTCTCCATCTTCCCTGCCTTCCCCGATAACTCCCTCTGCAGTGGAAAACGAGTACGGCAACCACGACCTTATCCACATCCGGTCCAGCTGGCGCGTGTGGGTGGACCACTGCAACGTGCAGAACGGCGTACGTGGCACTGTTGACGTGGTGCGGGGGTCCACTGATGTCACCATCTCCAACTGCTACGTCCACAACAAGTGAGCGGAGAGGGAGGGACAAGTGGGTGCCATGGGGTTGAAGCTGGTCTCGGGGTTGCTACTAGGCTGCTGCTGGGTATTGTTGGGCTGGTCATTGAACATCAAGGCAGATGGGTCTGATGACTCTATGACGTCTTCTTGCACAGCGAGTGTCGAGGTGTTGTGAGCATGTCACCTCCTTGAAACTCTGATGCGTCGACACCAACTCAGAATAGCAAGTCCCCACATACACCAGATCACACCCATGCATGTGTTCTCTGCTCTCCCTCCCACCCTCCCACCCTCTCGCCATCCTGCTTGCTTCTTCCCCACCAGTTGCTACATCACATCCCTGATTCTGTTCCCTGGCCTCCATTCCTATCCATCCATATTTCTGAACCCTCCTTTACCATTACTCTACGTACAAGTGTCTTCTGTTAATATCTGTCTAGGAAAGTTCAATATTCGTCATCTGCATTTCAACTTCCCGGCTCGCGCCTCCCTCCGTCACTCGTCCCACTCCTCTCCTCACTCATCCTCACTCCCCGCCCCTCCCTCTCTCTCTCTCTCTCTCTCTCTCTCTCTCTCTCTCTCTCTCTCTCCTTCCACCCTTCCAACCCTGCACCTCTCATGCCCCCAGGGACCTCACTATGCTGCTGGGAGCAGCAGACTGGGACTCTATTGACAAGCGCATGCGTGTAACCATCTACCGTAACTGGTTTGACAAATCTGGTCAGCGGTTACCACACTGCCGATGGGGGCAGGTCCACGTGGTGAACAACCTCTACACCAATTGGGGTTTCTACTGTCTAGGAGGCCGAGCATATGCGAACATTCGGTCTGAGCGGAATGTTTTCCTGCCCGGACAGCGGAAGGAAGTCACCCCATGGTTTGGCGTCTCGGCATTGTCTACGCCCGGGTTTGACAACTCGCCTACTATCGTTTCAATCGGCGATGCACTCTTAAACGGGGCAACTTTTCATGAATTCAGAGGGATGAAGCAGCCATTCTCCCCACCGTATCTAATTCCCACGCTCACGCCTAACACTGCAGCGCAGCTCTTCTTAGCTAAAAATGCCGGGCCACAGTTGCAGCCTCCCAGCTTACCCTGTAGCGGGCAGAGGTACTGTGCCTGAACTGTCAAATGGCACGGCGTACCAAATATTGACGGGAATAGGCCGCTGCAGGCAACCGGAGGTAATGATGACATTATCTTTAGGGAATAGAGCTCATGTGTGCGCGCTACCTAAAAATTTACTCAAATGTCGGGCATGATTTGCTATAATTGATATTTAACATTACCGTAGTGAATGCTGGTGTTGATTTAATATTGCCCCCCCCCCCCCACAAGGAAGGAGGCTGATTTTTATGGTTGGGCTTGTAGAATCATCTCCACCATTTCACGCAGTGTATTGTCATCTCAATCAAACGCAAGATTCCAATCTGTTACCACGTCGACTTTCGCTACAGGCGTTCGTCCGCCCGTCAACTCCTGCGGGACGTGGTGCAACAAGGTCCCCTCATTCATCGAAGCGAACGTTAGTGGCTCAGGTTGGTTCTCGTCGCCAACCAATGAGAACTCAGCAGCACCACACATCGTCATTTGTTAACCTCGTAGTTTCACGCCTCCAATGACAACTTTCTATCGGGGACAACCAGTGGCTGGATCGTCGCACCTGACAAGCCTGGGCGGATCACAACGCAGGCAAAGGGAGCAAATTCTTCAAGGCGCGTTCAGCAGGCCCTTTCCGTTGCTGCCATCGCGGACGGAAGGATTCTATCTGACGCTGCTGACAATGCAGACGGCTATTAGGTGAGTAATTGGCTCCAGCAGCAATTGTCATCACCAAGAGCCACGCGGCGGTTCGAGTGAGCATCAATGCCTCACGCGATGCCTCTGACATACTATCGCTTCTATCACTCAACACTGCCTCTATCTCTCCCCATCCTCCCACTCTTGCCGCACGCCCATTCTTCTTCCCAATCTTCCCATTCCCCCCTCTTGAATTACCCCGCTCTCCCCACTTGCCGCGGTTTCCCAATGGCCCGCTCAGACTCCCCGCGTCCTCGCGCGGGCTATTCATAGCGGGGAGTGCCTCTTCCGCGCGTTCTTCCGCGTCCGCGCGGCCACTCCCCGCAGTGGTTGCGCGCTCAGGCGGCGCGGATTCCTCCCCCGGCTCCTCGCAGCCGCCGCCTGCGGGGGGCGCGCAACCACAGGTGCGCAGTTAAGGGCAAGGAATGGGCGGAAGCGATGAGAAAGGGAGAGGAGAGAAGGGCAAGTGGGGTAGACGAGAGGGGGAAACGAGAGGGGAAAGCGAGAGGGGGAAGTGGAAGAACGAACGGAAGAAGGGTTCCCCCTCAACTCATGAGCCATTCTTTTCAACGAATCATGGGAAGAGTCCCCATCAACGTTTCGTTATACAAATGCAGCACACGGCTCAGCGCAATTCCACGTTCTGTTCCACTGCGGCCAACAAGTGCAATACTGCTCTTTTCTGTATCTTCTCTGCTTTTGTTCCACTCTTTTGAATCTCCCTTCCAGAGTGGAACAAGCAGCGGCCTTTCCGCCTCAAGCCGACCGCAATCCGCATCCGCCCCTCAGCCCTCCTCCTCCTCCCCCACTCCCCCCTCCTCCTCCTCGCCTCTCTCTCTCCTCTCCTCCCCTCCTCCGTCTGTTTCCGCCAACACCCGCGCCCGCCTATTCGACTCGCCTTCCCCCCCCTCCTCCTCCCCCGGCCGCACGTGGGACCCGTTGGAGGCGTCATTCGAGGGCATCATGGCGTTTGATGGGCCGGGGCCTGAGCTCATCAACGGCCGCCTCGTACGTTTGCTGTGCTCATCCTGACCTGACGCTGTGCTTGCTGGGAGGTTGGTTCTCCCTCGCTTCATGTTCTGAGAAGCTTTTCTTTGGGAAGGGGTTTAGGTATGGTGTCACCACAGCTCACGCCCTCCACACCCTCCTCCCGCCATCCCTCCCCCTCTCCCTTTCCACTCCCACGTACCTCACATCCACCCACCCCACCCTCCACGAGTCCCTCACAGGCCATGCTGGGATTCGTCACAGGGATGAGTTGGGAGGTGGTAGGCGGGGTGTCACTGCAGCAGCAGCTGGCAGATCCCGGTGAGACGGGCATAGCAGCGCTGCTGCTGGCTGCTGTCCTCGTCTCCCTCGCCTCGCTGCCTCCGCTGCTCAAGGGAGTTCGGCCAGAGGACCGCAGGTGATTATGTATGAGATGAGAGTGAAGGTGATGGTGTGGTGTGTTGCGTGTGGCAGCTGATGGTGATGGTGTGCTCCTCTCTTGGTGTTCTGGTGATGCAAGTCAGATGTTCTATGCCAGGTTTCTGGGTGGAGTTTTCCCGTCTGGAGTGTCTGTATTCCAGTGCGAGAAATGGGAAGGAAAGGCATGTGTGTGTGTGTGTGTGTGTGTGTTTTTTTTTTTTTTTTTTTTTTTTTTTTTTTTTTTTTTTTTTTTTTTTTTTTTTTTTTTGTGCCGGGTTCTTATGTGGCCAGGACATGGGTGCTGCCATGCTTTGAAAACTTTCGATGCGGTATGAGGTAACAGAAAATGCGGCTGGGAAGGGGCGAGGGTAGGGAAACGAAGGGGGACTGCTGAACGCTGAATGCTGTGCTGAGCATGCATCACCTCTGACTTTCATGACTTGATCTCCATCTCTCTCCCTGTTTCCTGCCTGCAGCTTCCTTTTCTTTTCCTGGGAGGCAGAACAGCTGAATGGGCGAGTTGCCATGCTTGCATTTGTTGGGGTGTACACTGTTGAGTACATTGCTGGTGTGCTCTTGCAGTAGAGACTTCATTTGTGGCAGGAGTGTGTGTGATGTGAAATAAAAAAATATAGCCAGTATTCAACTCCAACTCATCAGATAAGTCTAAGAATTGTACAGCCGTTCTCCTTGAAATTGTTCTTTAACATAGCTGCTGCCCAACAAGCAGGACTAGAAATGCTTGCAGAATACCGTATCACCCCGGATATAAGCGCCGTCCGTTTAAGGGCGCCGGCGCTTCTATCTGGAGCCATGCGCTTATGGCGGCACTTCGATTAGAAGCGCACCCCTTGAGAATCCTGTACTTATTATAAGCGCCACCCTTGAGAATCTCTTCGACAAACATTCTACTGTCACAGTCAATCTACTCAATCTAACATTCAGATGATTGAATCTCGCTTTTTAGATGGTAGCAGCAAGTCTAGCTCCTGCCAGCATGAACCTACTGGTACAACTCTAGCATTTCTACCGTTAGCACTACTCCTCTTCGTCTGACTCTGGCTCCGGGCAGTTGTTGCCCCAGAATCCGTCGGCGATGATGTCGTCGTCTACGTCCACCTCGTGCGACAGCTGGCTCCTTCTTTGCGCCATGGCGAGCCTGTCCCCGCTCCCGTCTAGCGCGTTGCTAATCCCGCATGTGAGGAACGCCTTCTTGATCAGATCTGCGAGGACTGCCCTCCATGCCCGGGAGATCCACCTGAGGACCACCTCTGCAGGCGGCTTTTTGAGGTTCCCTGCACCACATGACGATCAGAGGGGAGATTAGCGCAACAAAGAGACGGGAAGAATTTGACTCATGTGGACGTAAAACAATTCGGCCCATACATGCTTTTGTCAGCCTTTCCAAGCCTTCCTCCTCAAACCAGGTCTGGTACTGCTCGCGGACGGAGGCCTTGAAACTTTTGTTGACCGACACGTCGAGAGGCTGTACCTCCGATGTACAGCCTGCCGGGATGACCGCGGGGACGATGTTGACCTCCGCAAGCTTCGCCTTCACCTCGTCCGTGAGATGCCCGCGGTACGAATCCAGAACGAGCATCGCGCTCTTCGCCTGCCTGCCGAACCGGGGCCTTATGAAAGGCTTGATACACCCGTCAAGCCACGCCAGAACGCCGTCGGCGTCCATCCAGCCGTTGTCTTGGCACCCCACCACCACATCTGCGCACGCAACAAAGGGTCCAAGTTAAACACGCCTCTGTCGCATGACAAAGCAAGGTAAAATGTCAAGCTTGTCTTACCTGGCGGGAAATCCCCCTTCGGGACCGTCTTGCGCTTGAAGTACACCCATGGCTTCAGCTTCACACCGTCAGCCGTGCACGCCAGCATCACGGTGACGCGCTGCTTCTGGTAACCAGCGCTCCTGATGGGCACCGAGCGAACTCCCGTTTGCTCCACGGTGGTGGTGGCTGGCATCTCAAGCCACAGCGGCGTCTGGTCGGCGTTGATAATCCACGTCGTTTCGATGCCGCGCTCACGACGGTTGTTGCGGACGAACTCCCAGAACTTAGTGCACTGCTCCGCGACATCTGTCAGACACAGGTAGAGAGGGGGGGGGGGGGGGGGGGGGCGAGAGGCGGTAGGGATATAAGATCACTGGTAACCGTGAAAACATCATGGAAGACGCATAATAAAAGTTACTAAAACGAAGGGAGGCACTTACGTTCGGCGTTTTTTTGTGCTACCTTCGTCTTCATGCGAACGCTCAAATTCCAGCGGCGTCGAAAACGGTCCGACCACCTCTGACTGCCCTTCCACTTGACGTCGGGGTAGAGAATCTTCATGAATTCCTTTGACCACTCCTGCAGACGACCAACGGAGACGGCGCATCCCTTGCGCCGCCACTCCAGAAGCCTCGCATAGACCTTTGGCTCCATAGGCCTGTACCAAGACGATCGGCCGCGACCGTGCATCCGCATCCGTGCGCCGTGAGCATCTTTCAGGGCGGCCGCCTCCTTCTTCCACTGCGTCAAGCACTTCCGATGGATGCCAGACTCACGAGATAGAGAGCGCACGGAAACCGCCACCTCCAGCAGCGCGAGCCACTTCAATTTTTCCTGAGCTGTGTAACCTTTTCGCTTGTGCTGCGACATCTTGTGCCTGGGAGGGGGGGGGCGGGCATCACGGTTCTTTGAAGAAGGGTGGGGACGCTTGCGGTTAATCGGTGGATAAGACGGTATCGACAACTTTTCAGGAAGGCCATCGCGCGACCAGTATTCGACACCGTCGTCGTCGTCGCCGCCCATGGCTCCCTCGGGATACACATCTGTCTCGGTGCCCGCCCCGGTGCCCGCCTCGGTGCCAGTCTCTGTGCCGGTCTCGTCGTCAGCCTCGGCGCCCTCGTCGCCCTCCGCGCTCTCGGAATGCACATCGTCGTCAGCGCCCACGGCGGATTCATCCCACGCGCAGTCTTCTGGCTCGCCCAGCGTGGAGCCGACGCGGGAGCCTCCATGGACTCATCTTGAGGCTTGTCCGCGACAGGTTCTTCCAGCCACTCGTTAAAGGTTTTCGGGAGATACTGGCAAAGCTGGAGCACGGGCCGGTTGCCCAAGGTTTCTAAAGGAGGAGCAGGAGGTGTGGGAGGCGACGGAGGAACGGGAGGATTAGGGGGAAGAGGAGGCGCAGGAGGATGTGGTGGGTCGGGAGGCGATGGTGGGGCACGGCAGTACCATCCGTCAGCGGTAACGGTAAACGCGGGCCTACTAGGCTTCTTCTTGAAGAGAAAATGAGTGCCTGTGAATTCCGCCATGGCTGAAGCAGCCCGGCGGGAGAGGAAGGAAAACTGAATCAGAACGAGCAAGAATGAGGAATGAAATGCACTTGGGAGGGACCCCTTCGCCAAGGCGCCACGGGGTCCTCGTCGATGACCGACGGGAAACCCCCGCCTAGACTCGTCGAGGAACTTGCGTGGCGTGCACGACGCTGCGTTGCCATGGTAGATTCCACCACCTTCTAGTGGATTCGGGTGGAATTTGCCTGCATGGCAACGCATCCCGATGTGATTGGACCGCACGGCAGGATTTGCGTCAGCGCTGGCAGGAAAGATTCCACCCCCTTCTAGAGGATTCGGGTGGAATCGACTGCCATGAGGCGCATGACAATGTGATTGGGCCGCACGGCAGGATGCGAGTCAGCAAAGGCAGGTGCGCTGCTTCTGGACGTGAATGTGTGGTGGGAAACCGAGTCGCGGTTGATTTCCCCTGAATTCTATGCACGATCCCACGTGAACGAACGTTCGGCTGTGTTCACCTTAAGGAGAGCTTCGATTTGGTGCCTTTAAAAATAAATTTCATTTTCCCGTCTCATAAGCGCATGCGCTTATGCCCGTTACTCAATTACAAGCGCCCCCCCTTAAAAAAACTGATTTTATTATAAGCGCATATGCGATACTATCCGGGGTAATACGGTATCTGCACAAGCGGATACAGATACGATACCGTAGTAGTATTAGTATGCTGCAGGTGTATGAAATTCTGCACCGTTGTAGTATAGATATTGTGACGTGATGAATCAAATAATTAATTAGGTTAGGTACCCTACCCTGGTACCATGTCACCATTTGAAATGAGAATGGTTCCTTTCAATGAAGACACGAGTACCAACAATTGGAAAAACAAAGTCATGGATTGCAATAACGTGAAAAGGTCAACTGATATGAAGAAGTTATACCCATGAATTATTTTAAATATGGAATGCTGTTCAATCGTGGATCTATAAGGTTTTAACAGTCTACAAATATAGATGCAATTTGTTAAGAAATGAATGATTCAATGTATAGATTATGATATTGATACTTCAGCAACTTCCCGAAGGGAGTGCTCCCGAATGAGAAGTCATAGCTTTCGGCTTCCCTTCTCTGTCAAAATTGAGGGTTTGGCTTGGCGGTGACATTTTGAACGGATGTCATCTGGTCAGGTGAACGGCGAAGCGACGACTGGCTGTCCGTTGATATGTATTTCCACATTGACTGCCCCAGATTCAAAATTTCTGAAGCGTTGCCCGCGAAACATCTGCTTCTGTGGTGTCAGTTTCCGGCGATGTCGGAAAGTTGCGGCGACCCAGCCCGTGGTGCACCATCATCACGTTTCACAACTTACCTTACCCAATGGCATGGATGGAGACCAATGACATGTCAAGACAAGCCTTCACTCCACTGCCCCTCGTTGCGAAACAAACGGCCTTGGCGCGAACGTGCTCGAACCTGTCACTACAAGCAGGCTTGCCTCAACCATTCTGTTTCGATGCTGCTTCGTCAATGCCCAAACCGACACGTTCCGGTACGGTGGTCCACAAAGCTAAGCTATTCGTTTTGAGAGTTTTTACGGCTTTCCGAACCTAGGACATGTCCCTCCTTTCACATCACTGTGAAAGGCTCGGGAGACCGTGCCCTCCAAACACGAGTCGCATTTCCATTTTCCAAACGAAACACGGCTCGTCACTCCCCCCTCTTACCAGTCCCTCTTGCACAGCGCTTCGGCTCCACAGCGGGCACCACTCTGACGCGCTCTGCGTGTGAGCGATCACATCAGGGCGAAGGCGGAAGGGAGTTCCGAAAGCTGCGACATGCGGCATGGCACCTCGCCACTGCGTCCCCATCTCCCCTTCCCAGGGACATTTCCGCGCCACGCCCTGCTCCGTGCGTTTCGCCGCAAACCAAAATCACGTCACAGCGCGACCGAGGAAGCAAGCGCGGGATTGGAATCCTTACAAGTACCCTCGCTCTCTATTCACAAATCATTCCAACCCAAGCTTGGCACAGGTAAGCCTAGCCTGAGCGTCCTAGTCTTCGTCTTCTCTACGTCGCAGCCTCTCTCCAGCCCAAGCAACCGCCCTCATTCTTCAGCCTGCATCACAAGTACCACCACTCTTTCCGCTTACGCCAGTTTACCTGGCTATTCCTTCATCTGTCGCAATGGCTGCACGATTCGTCGCAATCCTCCTCCTCGCCACGATCGCCTTCGCCTCGGCGAACGACGGGCAGAATACCCTTACCTCCCAACTGAGATCCGCGGGATGCTCGGGTTTCGCCAAGCTACTGGAGCAAGCCGATATGGTGACGGAGCTTGAAGGGAAGCTGGACTCGGGCGAAGCTACCCTTTTCGTTCCCTCCGATGACTCGCTCATGTACAAGGTGTCTCCCGCACTCCTTGCGTACCTCAAGGCACCCGTTAACAAGGACATCCTCCGCAAGGTTCTTCTCTTCCACGTCGTTCCGGAGCGCATCTCCGCCTTCAAGTGGGACGGCGACCACGCCACTCTGGAGGGTTCTCCCGCTGTTCTCCGCATGGACGCGCTAGCGTTCTACGTGTCGAACGTGGCCGTGAAGGAGTACAACGCGATCATCTCCAAGGACGCCGTGGTGCACTCGATCCGCGGCCTGCTCATCCCGCCCTCGCTCGAGGAGGCTCTCGGCTCCATTGACTTCGGCGCCGTCGACGTGCAGGAGGATGATGGCCGCCGTATCCTCGCCGCGCCTGGCTCCGAGAATTCTCCTGGCTCCGATGCCGCTCCCGCTCCTCCTGCTCCCACCGTCTCGCCGTCTCCTCCCGCTACCACCGCTCCTTCTCCCCCTTCCACCACCTCGCCTCCTCCCAAGCCTTCAGCCAGTACGTCTCCACCTTTTTGTAGAGCCTCCACGCTCAGTATTCTAGCTGCCCTGTACATGCTTGCTCCTTCTGCCCTCCATGATATCCACCGTCACTGACTCATCACTCTCTTTGTTTCATTCTCAGGGATCGTTGCTGGCTTCCGGTGGTTCGTGTCGGTCGCAGCCCTTGCCGCTTTCGCTCTCGTGTTGTAACCAGTTCGCAGTTACTATGCGATTGCGACACTTTCCGGACAACATCTTAGGAAGATCAGGAGTAGGCTGTCAACCATGGTAGTAGGAGCAGTTTCTGGAGTCGCAACAATCCTGGACAGTCGCATCGTCGCCCGTTCGCTCGAGTTCTTCATCGCCGGTAGTCCATTACAGCGGGTGGAAGACGGGTGTAGGACCGGGGATGCATTCTGGGTCGGGGTGTGGTTGGCACATGACTTAATGAAGCATAGTGGATTCAGGAATAGGGTGCTCTTGTAGGTTATTCTGAACCGACTGTTTAATGGATTTGCAATTGCTTTAGATTTTCGGTGTAATAAATTGACTTCCAATGCTTGAAATAACCGCGTGAAGATACGGTATTGACTTCCAATGCTTGAAATAACCTTCATCCTACCGCGTGCACAACCGGACGATGTGCACCCATGAAGGTTGAGGCACTGCATCAGCTTTACCGAAAAAATGCTGAAAAATCATCGTTCGAATTTATACAAAACACTGAAATTACTGCGTGACCGCGTTTCAAGGTTAGGGTACCGTATTAGGACGCTGTCGCATTTGCAACAGCGGAGGAGGATGGGGGACCACACACCAAACCTGCGGCATCAATCGCCACAAGGGTGTTCCAGTCTGCGTGTTAGCAGGAGAGCTGCTACTGTACCCACCCTGAGCCATATGGGAGACGATCGAAATTGCAGGTGGGAGGCAGAAAATGTCAAGCGCGTCGCATTGCTTCGCTGGCGAGTCGTACAGTTCCGCCATGAGACGACACGCACAATGTAGGATGTTTCTTTGTCGCCCTGTTACCCCATACGAAACTAGCCGACATTATGAGACGGCGACCAATCGAGCTCATCACTATCAATGGAGCGATCTAGTTTCCCGAACCCATAAACACTACCGGATTTCGGGTTTAGGATTGATATGACAATTGTAACGCTTCCTTGGGCTAGAATCTGGATGCTTTGCTACGCAACCCAGGCGAACGGGTTTTGCCAAGTGGGTTACTCTGCAGAACGTTCTTGCCCTATCCGTTGGCTCTACGTTACCAACAAAATTGCATATTTTTCGACTGCAGAATGTTTTATTGAACTGCATTATTTGTTTCTTATGGATTGTTTCATTTCAAATATTACACTTTACTCGTTCATGTTTTGGTGCTGGCATATGTTATGAAATTCAGGCTTTGCCCATAGAAATGTTGCAAAAAAACGTAGAATACATGAGTGCTAATAAAAACAAAACACATGAATAGAATAATTGACAACGAACTGTCGTATCTCAGAGCCTATAGCCAACGAACTCCAGCACAGAAACAAAGTCTTCCAGGAGTTTACATGGCCTTGGAGAAAGCGGAGTAGCCACAGTCCGTGGAGAGCACACCAGACGTCTCGTAGTCGGAGGACTTGCCGTCCAGGAAGCCCTGGCCGTTGTCGCCGTCGGCAGAGAAGGGAGTGCGCAGCAGCCGCGACAGCATGGCGTAGTCAATGGCACGCTCGGCGCGGCCCTCGCGGTACGTCTGCCCCATGATGCCGTGCACCGAAGGGGAGCGCGACACGTGCTTGAAGTTGACGTTCAAGTGCACCTGCGCGTCGTCGGGCGTTTGCAGCAGCGGGTGCGCGGGCCTCAGCTTGATGTCCATGGCCAGCTTGTCGCCGATGCGCAGCGAGTACGCGTCCACGTCGAAGAATCCGCCGCCCTCCTGCTCGAACCCCTTGAACACAAACGCCAGCCCGCCGTCCAGGTTGTACGACTCGCCGGGCTGCAAGAACAGACAGAGATAAAGAAAGGAACTAAGGGTGAGTGCAAGGAGCAATATATAAGCAAATTAAGAGGTAATACGAAGAGCGAGAAGAGAGATGGGACAAGGGACAAAGCAAGGTCGCTGACCTCGAGGGAGGGGAGGACGCGGCCGTCGAACTCGATGAGCGAGAGGAAGCCGTTGTCGCGCTTGTCCGACTTGCCGTTGCGCGCCGCCAGGCGGAAAGAGTGCTCCACGCCGTCAACGCTCCACACGAAGCCCAGCTCGCGGATCCACGTGCGCACAGCCAGCCCGTTGCGCAGCAGAGACGCGCCGATGGTGCGCGTGTCGTAATACCCGCGCATCTTCATGTTCACGTGCAGGCTCGAGTCCGTCAGCAGGCAGTACGACTTCTCCGGCGCGCCGTTGAACTCGAACCGCGTGCCGTGCGCGCCGCGGAAGTGCGGGTCGTGCTTCGTGTACGGGCACGGGCGGCCCAGAGTCGACGCGTTCACAAACGTGCGGGTCGTGCCGCCAACAACCACCGTGCGCGTCTCGCAAGTGGGCTGCGCGTCCGTGGGCTTGTACAGGTAGCAGATACCGCAGTTGGAGCATGAGAGCGACGACGGGATGTAGTGCTGCCAGAAGGAGCACGCAGTCGAGTTGGTGCACGCCGCGCAGCACTGTCGACGCAGAACGGCGTTTCCGAAGCACCGGGGAGTCGTGCCCGTCGCGCACCGCCCGCCGTTGGGGATCACGTAGCGACCGTTCAGACCGCTGTTGTCCGTGCAGTTGTCCGTGCAGGGAATGTCCAGAGGAGCCGTGCACGTCGTCACGCCCGTAGTAGGGTACTTGCCGTCGTTCCACAGAACTGTTGGGAACAAACGAAAGACAGCAGCGTGAGATTGATGCAACACAACCAAAGCGCAGGCACACTAGGAACAACAAGTCAGACCAAGACATTTATGAGCGGGCCTACGTACTCGTAGACGAGGTGGTGGTTGGGGAAGTAGTCGTCGTGGTAGTTGTCGTCGTGGAAGTGGCCGACTGCGCAGTCGTGTACGCCTTGTAAGCAGTCGTGTAGTCATCGTTGGCCTTGGAAGCCCACTGGTAAGCCTGGGTCTCCGCGGCCTTAGCGTCGGCCACCTTCTTGTTGGCATCCACCACCTTCTGATCCGCATCGGACAGCTTCAGCTCCAGATCCATCTGCTTCTGCTGGGCCGCCGAAAGGTCGGCCGTCTTTGCCGCCAGCGCCGCGTCGGCATCATCCTTGGCCTTCTTCACTGGGGTGTACGCGTCGGTAGGAGCCTTGGCGTCAGCCACAGCTTTGTTGTAGTTGGTTTGCGCGGTGTTCTGAGCCGTCAGGGCCGTCTTGATAACAGCGTCCTGCTTCGTCTTTGCAGTACCCGTGAGGGTCGCGCCCTTCTTCACCTCGGCATCGTACTTGGCCTTAGCAGTGTCGAGCAACGCCTGCTTGGCCGCCACGTTCTTCACTGCCGCGTCGTAAGCAGGCTGGACCTTCTGGAGGCTCTTCACGGCGTTGGCAGCGTTCGTCGAGGCGACATTCTTAGCCGTCTGAGCGTTTGCCACCCCCGTCTTAGCGGAGTTAACCGCTGCCTTGGCATCGTCGCTGGCCTTCTGAGCATCACCAGCGGCCAGCTCAGCGTTAATACGCTCCTGAGTCCTCTGAGAAGCCTGCTGCTGCATCGCAAGGGACTTCGATTTCAGAGCCTGAACATCAGCGTTTGTGGGAGCGACATTCGTCGTCGACGTCGTTCGAACCTTCCTGCCGGCTAGGGCCCCGCCACTAAGAAGTAAGACAACCAGAGACAACAAGAGAAGCTTGGGACCCATAATGTTGCACTTGGATGATGTCGGAACAACCAGGAGCTGTAATGTGCTACAATTTCAGCAGAAGATGTTGAATGAGAGAGAAACTAAGGGCGACTATACTATTACTTCTCGACTGCCTGGAGGATGAAGCTGGATCGGTCTGGTATTGTAGATATTGGAGTGAGGACTATAACTGTTGTTGAGTTGGGCTGGGGGGATGGGAAATTCAAGGGAGGGAGACGTGTGCTTGCTGCTCACTCGTCGTTGTTGGTGAACACCTGATAACAGCCTGCGACTCGTCTTGAACGACCACTGGAATCTCTGTTCACTTGTTCTGACGTCGAATGAAGGGATGGACCTGGTCCCGGCTGTTTCAACAACCTCGCCACTGTGCTGGTGTGAACGATAAAACGTGTACAGTTTGGGAGTTTTGTCGCGGCCTCAGACGGAGGGGAAAATCGTTCGGGACGGGATGTTGAGGGGAAGTCGAGGGTTGAGCTATCGATATTACAAATCTCCGGACTCGTTATGAGTTGAACAATGTGCACGCAATCTAACTATACAACAAAGTTGATTCAACAATACCAGGCAAGGCAATACGATACCGAATCCCCTTCGCAATAAGCCCAGGTGGGCTCTTTCACATGGAAACATTGGAAAATCGTGTATTTCTTAAAGTATGATACATTATTAAGCTTTTAGGACAATAAATAGAGTGCTTTCGGTGTAGACAGTGAAGATAAGTTCAATCATCAATTCGGATGCGGACATTTCAAGTCGGTGCGCTTACCCTTCGGCCCTGGATAGACGTCCCAAGGAGCTTATAGGTTTTTGGCCCGCACTAGTGCCACCAATACCTCCGCCACCCCCTCCATTACCACCACCGCCACCACCCTTCCCCCCCTTTCTTAGCTGGCTTGCCCCTAGGCCCAGGGTCTTCGATATCATACATTTTTGTCTGTTTTTGTGAGATTTCAGACATGATTTTTCTGCTTCATCTGATCGTCCAGTCAGGATCAGACAATTTTTTGTTTTTGCCTGGGGGGCCCGTCTGATGCATCAGACATCCCTCCGACCCTAGGGAGAGCCCTGCCTAGGCCGCCCACCCATGGTGGACACGACCGCAGTCTCGTTAGAAGCAGAAGATGCAGTCGAGGCAAGAGAAGCAGTGAAGGTGGAAGCTGTGTGACAGTACACCCCTGAAAGAGCGTGGGAACTACAGCGACAGACGCGGAGGCAACGGAACAAATGTTTCTCTCGATGTCCTTGAGAGCTGTCTCAAGGACGTCGATAGTGAGCGCTTTAGGGTGCTTCCAAAGAAGCGCGTCACGGCAAATGCAAGGCGGTCAAGGAGGCTTGTGACGATGAAGTGAATATTGATCGTCATGGGCGGGGAGGGGGGGGGGGGGGGGGGGGGTAATGCAAGCTCAGCCTCAGTACAAGCAGCACGGTAGCTGACGTCAAGCGAGCGCAGATGGGTGATAAGGTCAGCGGTGCGGTCAAAGCTCCTAGGTCGGGAAACAGAAACGACATTAAGAGGCGACCAAGAGAGGCGGGTCGAACCTGGGTGAAGTGAGCCCCTCTGACTCAAAGAGAAGGCTTTTGAGAGAAATGCGGGCCGCCGCGTCATGAGACTGCCACACCGACAAAGCTGATTGGGCCCTGTCAGCGCGCTCCCGGTCTGCATCTCTAGGCTCGTCGGGCAGGGCAGGAGGGGGCGGAGGCGAAGGCATGTCACCGGAGGCGTGCGCCTAGAGCGGATCATTATCCTGACGCAGACTCTGGAGGTACCGCTCGGCGCGGAGGAGCCAGGTGGGAAAATTTAGGGCTCTACCCCCACATCAAAACGCAGGACTTCAGTAGACGCCATGGTGAGAGGGCTACCATTCTAGCAAAGCTAGGAGCGGCCGAGGCTAGAAACGAACGAAGGGCGTACGTTGCCTGAAGAAACTGGTCTAGGAACGGCCAGAGCGAGTAGCGAACTAAGCGAGAGGGCTAGGAGTAGCCGATACGAACAACGAAACGTGGTCTGAGGGCTAGTCTAGGAACCGGTGAAGCGAGTGACGAACGGGGCCAGGAGGACTAGCCGAGGAACCAGCGAGAGGTGAGCCCTAGGTCGCGGTAAAGAGAGTCAACTGCGGCTGCCAGCCGCTGGGAGGAACGCCTATGGTAGGAGGCGTGGTAGGAACCACTAGGCAGGGGTGCAGGGCGTGTGCAACTGCAGCTGCGGGTGCGGTAGGTGTTGCTCATGCACTTGTGACTGCGCGGGCGCCTGCTGTTGCGTGAGTGGGGGATGCGGCACGGGCGGCTGCTGGTGTGCGTGCGGCGGCTGCTGCGCGCGTGACTACTGGTTCGTGCGGTTAAAGCTGCTGCGCGTGTGCGACTACGGGTGCGTAGCTGTGCGCTAGTGGTTGCTCCTGCGCGGCTGTGCGCGTGAGGCAGCAGGGGCGCACGCGGTTGTTGCTGCTGCGCGCGTAGCTGTGGCTGTGCGCGCGGCTGCTAGTGTGCGCGGGCAGCTACTGCAGCGCGTGCGGATGCTGCTGCTCGTGCGGATGCTGTTGCGCGTGCGGCTGCTGCAGCGTGTGCGTACGGTTGCTACAGCACGCGCGGCTGTTGTGCGTGCGTGCACAGCTGCTGGGTGCGACGCGGTTTGTGGGCAGCGTCCGGGCGATAGCTGCTGCGTGCGCAACTGCGGGTATGCGTTCAGATGCGTTCGGGGTATGCGCAGGATGCATGCAGCTGCGTGCAGGGTGCGCATGCAGGCAGCGCGTGCGAGGTGCACGTGCAGGCAGCGCGCGCGGGTACGGGACGGGGCGGAGCACGGGGCGGGGTGGGGTGGGCCGGGGCGGGTATGGGTATGGGATGGATATGTGGCGGGCCAGCGAGCGGGACGGGGCGCAGCGTGCTAAAGGGGCGCGGCTCGGCCTGCTAAGGGGCGGGGCGAGGCCTGCTACGAGGCGGGGTGCAAGCTACTAAGGGGCGGGACGAGTCTAAGCGAATCTAGGATCGAGATCCTACTCATGATACCATCTCAACAAGTGAACAGCATAATGGATGACTGATACAAGTACTATCCCAAAATGTGTTATACCCCTTATTGTGTGCCCCACTATAGATTGGCATGCATTTTTGTGGTTTGACAGGGGGGGGAGGGGGGTTATCTGGGGTATTACAGTATATACCGTAATACCCCCGGGTCTATAATACGGAGGGGGGGTATGCTAAATAGGTCGTTTGCAGTTATACCCCCCTGAATGGGGGCTAACATTATGAGACGCCCCTCCTCCTAGAGAATCAGTCATTTTATAGGCCAATTTTTTAGTATAATTTTTATACCCCTTTTCCACACCAAATCCCATGACACGTTCACTAACAAGTGGTAACAACCAGTTACAAAAGCACATGTACTCATCATCGTACCCATTCCGCGTATTTGTTTTTAATGCTACAAACGGAGTTCTTTCCGTGTTTTTATTTTGAATGCTAAAACGGAGCACAAACTGTTTACATGTTTGGCTGTTAAAACACAAGTATTATACATGACCTTATGATAAGACCCGAGGTGGGATTCTTATAATACCCCCGGGTCTTTTATCCGGGGTATTACGGTAGTTGGGTTATAAGTATTTGGTGTGTTTATCAAGGGCAGCATACAACATGTTAAGCATGTGTTATCATTGATATCACTAGAACACCCAGGCCAGGACAAAAGCTTACCGCAGGCCCTCAGAAGTCAAGAACAAACGCTGATTTGCACTTGTAACACCCATTTCATGGTTTTTTTTGTGAGAGAAATACGAGGAATAAGAATGAAGAAAAGGAGTGCTTGCACTAGCAGCAGTTGAGATACATATAGGAAACCCTAATTGGGTTGTACTCGCTATAGAGTACCCCACTGCAGGCTAGACAATTATAGCATTCTGACACACCCCCATAGTCAAAGTGGGGTATGATCAGCACAACAAGCAGGCATAAAGTCAGTTCACCAATTACAAGCAAAGCTAGAGGTAATCACAGAGGGCAAGTGAGTAGGAGGAG